AACCTCCACTTTTCACTTAGCAGCTGAGCGATCAAATGCTGCGCCACTTCTTCACTGTCCCAATCCCTAGCTGTTGAGTTGATTCTGACTCAGCCACCCTTGGACAGAATGGAACAGCCTTGTAGCGTTTCCAAGGCTGTCATCTCATGGAAGTAAAGTTCCACATCTTTCTCCTTCAGAAAGATTGATGGATTTGAATTGTCAACCTTTGGTGAGAGACAAGCACTTAACACTGCACTACCATGGTTCCTTTTTATTAGCATAAAACTTTTTTTTTATAAATAAGTAGGTAACAAGACATTTGCCTTTTCAACAGACTTCACAAGTACACTTCAAAGTTGAAATGAGAATCACTGCCATCGAGTCTGTTCTGACTCATAGCTATCCTGTATGGAGTTTCTGAGCCTATAAGTCTTTATGGGAACAGAAAGTCTCATCTTTCTCCCACAGTGCTGCTGGTGGGCGTGAACTGTGAACTTTGTGGTTAACAGTCCATTGCGTATCCTTCAGTGCCACTAAGCAGTGTGCCTTCCTTTCCTCTTCCCATCCACTTGCTCACCCGGACCTGGTTACCATGAATAAACTTTGATCTCTGTACATTGCCTATTCTAGATATTTTATACAAGTGGGATCATATAACACGTGTCCTTTTGTGACTGACTTCACAAAACTGGTTTTTTATATTTCACTCAGTATAAAGTTTTCAAGGTTTATCCACATTTTATGCATACATAAGGACTTCGTTTCCCTCTGTGGCTGAGTAATACTTATAGTATGTACCACAGGAGCTCTGGTAGTGTAGTGATTACGAATCGGGCTGCTAACCTCAAGGTCGGCAGTTCGAAACTATCAGCTGTTCCACAGGAGACAGATGAGGCTTTCTGCTCCAGTAAAGATTTACAGCCTCAGAAACCCTGTGCGGGTTCACTGTGCGTCAGCACTGCGTCCGCAGCACACCAGCACCACCACATTCTCTGTAGGCATTATTCTGTTGGTGGACATTTAGGCTCTTTCCCCTTTTTGCATGTTGTATTAGTGCTGCAGTGAACATGGGTGTGCACGTATCCCTTTAAGTTCTCCTTGCAAGATGTAAAGCTGTGATGAGATTCAGGGTTCGTTCTTAGTACTCTTCATGATTTGAAATGCTTGGGGTTGCTTCAGCTCGCTTGCCCTCTGAAATGTAGTGTCAGCTACAAAGACTCACAGGTTACTCCCTGTTTATGACCATATATCTGGTGAGGTAGAGGTGGTTCTATAGTAGAATTATCACCTACTAAGAGAAAGACTTTTGGCGCTGTGGGTTAATGCGCCAGACTGCAAAGCCGTTTGAACTGCAAGGTTGGCGGTTCAAGCTCACTATCTACTTCTCGGAACACCTATACAAGGTCGCTATGGGTGAGAACCGACTCGATGGCACTTAACAACAACAAGAGAAAGACTTGGGTCCACTTGGAGACCAGTTCACTTCATGGCCAGTCACCACTCTTCTGTCAATGGTGGTTTGTGGTTGGTGAACAGATTCTGGTGGAACTTCCAGACTAAAGACTGAGGAGAAAGGCTTAGTGATCCTTCTCTAAAAGTCAACCAATGAGAGCATGGAAACAGTGTTGTCACGAGTTAAGGCTTACTCTGATGGCAACATAGAGACAAGTTGGACAGATTTGTATTTGGAATTTGAGTTTTTTAATAACTTCTGATTCATTTCACGTTACTTCCCTTGATTTATTTAAGCTTGTACTAGTTTCAGTACTTGCCTTGCTTGGAGAGTCGAAGAAAGAAAAAAAGATACAGTTTTATGAGGTTTTGCATTGTGTAAGGTGTCTTTAGTTCATAATTCTGATAACAGAATAAAGATCCTGTGGTAAAGGCAGTTTTCCTAAAATATGTGTGTTGTATGGAATTTGACTTAGAAGCATGGTATAAATATCAATAGGCATACCCTCTTCGCAGCCTCATCTTTGTCCCACAGAACAGGTGGTAGTTTCAAACTGCCAACCTTGAGGTTCCCAGCCCAATTCATAACCGCTACACTACCAGAGCTCCTTCCTAAGTGTCATAGGTAGTACTGTAGTCTACTGATTAATTACATTTCTTCCATGTTGGGCATTTTACACAGAATTTGTTCTTTTTAAATACTGAAAGTTGCTAGTGTTGATTTATTCTTTTCTGGGTGTCTAGGATGAACTGAGTGAAGTTATTGATGTTAAGGATCCCGATTCTGTTCCTGCTGCTGAACGCAGACAGAGACGCCTGGCTGCTGAGCTGGCCAAATTTGATCCTGATCATTACCTGTGAGTATTTTCAGGTGTAAACGATTTGCTTGAAGTTTCTCTTTTTAAAAGATTGTCTTTTTAGTGATTGTATGTGTGTGCTTTTTGAACTCTAGGAATTAATGATGGCTCAGAGCCTTAACTGACATCCAGATGAACATTTAGTTCACCCTTCGCCTCTGTGTGATGTTGTGAGCTGTTGCTTCACACTTGTCCTTCCCAGCAACAGAACTCTTTAAGCACATTTATTAGAGCATTTTACTTGCTAAGCTGATAAATAGAATGGTAGACTCATGAAAATATATTCTTATTAGTAGATTTTCTGTCTTGGTTGACGATTAACTGAAAATATTTCAGTTTCTTTAAGAATTTGAATCTGCATTTATTTTATTTCTTGGTTGATCCCAGGTTGTCTTAACACCTGCAATCAAAGGTTTATTTCAAAATAACAACTAGTTTTCATGGTAAGAGTTTAAATACTATGAGAAATGTTGTTGATATCTGGACACCAACTCGGTTCCTCTTGGTTATGAGGTCATTGATGAGTTATCACAAATGCTTGTCAACAAACACTCAAGAAATCCAATCTATACTAATTTTAGTGAGAGTGGGTTTTCTTTATTTGGTTATGCAAAATCCGGTGCTGTACCAACAGAACACAGGTAGACAGCCATGCATACCAGATGCCATGAGCACCAGCTTGCAAAAGATTTTTATATTTGTAGCTCTGGTAGCATAGTGGTTACGAATCGGGCTGCTACCCTCAGAATCAGCAGTTCGAAACTACCAGCTGTTCTGTGGGAGAAAGATGAGGCTTTCTGCTCCTGTAAAGATTTACAGCCTCGGAAACGCTGTACAGGGTCGCTATGAGTCAGACCGACTCCACGGCACATAACAACAACAACAGATCTCGAGAAGGTTGTATCAGTTGCATATCACAGGTTGTTAATGAGCCTTCCTCCAATCCTGGTGCCACATTTTTCTTCATGTAAACCAGCCTCTTGGATTATTTGCCCAGCGTACAGGTTGAATAAGTATGGTGAAAGAGTACAACCCTGGTGCACAACTTTCTTAATTTGAAACCTTTTAGTCTTCCCATGTTCTGTTCGAACAACTGCTTCTTGGTTCATATACAGATTCTTCTTGAGCACAATTAAGTGTTCCAGAATACTTATACTTCATAATGTTGTCCATAGCTTGTTATGATCCACACAATTGAAAGCCTTTGCATAGTCAATAAAGCACAGTTGTAAACATCTTTTTGATATTCTCTGCTTTCGGCCAAGATCCATCGGACATCAGCAATGATATCCCTCATTCCACGGCTTCTTCTGAATCTGGCTTGAACCTCTGGAAGTTCTCTGTCAATGTACGCTTGCAGCCATTTCTGTATTTCCTTTAGTAAAATTTTACTTGTATGGAATATCAAAGATATTGTCGGATGGTTTCTGCATTCCGTTGGGTCACCTCTCTTTGGAATGGGCACAAATATGGATCTCTTCCAATCAGTCAGCCAGATAATTGTCTTCCAAATTTCTTGGCAAAGATGAGTGAGTGCCTCCTGTGCCGCCTTCATTATGGTTTGCATTTCAATGTAAAGAAAACAAAAATCCTCACCACTGGACCAATAAACAACATTCTTATCAACAGTGAAAAGATTGAAGTTGTCAAGGACTTCATTCTTCTTGAATCAACTATCAGCACTCATGGAAGCAGCAGTCAAGAAATCAAACGATGTATTGCATTAGGCAAATCTGCTGCACAAGACCTTTTTAAAGTGTTGAAGAGCAAAGATGTCAGCTTGAGGACTAAGGTGTGTCTGACCCAAGCTATGGTATTTTCAGTAACCTCATATGCATGCAAAAGCTGGACAGTGAATAAGGAAGACCATAGAAGAAATAATGCTTTTGAGTTATGGTGTTGGAGGAGAATCCACGGTCTGCCAAAAGAACCAACAAATCTGTGTTGGAAGAAGTGCAGCCAGAGTGCTCCTTGGAGGCCAGGATGGTCAAACTTCATCTCTCGTTCTTAGGACATATTGTCAGGAGGGACCAGTTGCTGGAGAAGGATATCATGTTTGGTAAGATGGAGGCTCAGGGAAAAAGAGGAAACACCTCCAGCGAGATGGATTGGCAAAGTGTCAGCATCAGTGGCCTCAAGCGTGGCAACAATAGTGAGGTTGGCCCACAACCAGGCATTGTTTTGTTCTGTTGTACATAGGGTTGCTATGAGCCCCTCTGGACTCATGGCACCTAACAACAACAACAATCTTGAGGAAGTCCCTCCCCTGGGTTTCTTGTTGACTAAGTGCTATGGGGTTAACAATCTTTCCCTAAGGCAGCCTACCCTTTCTTGATGATAGCTTTCTTATTTAAAGTCAGTTTCCCTTTCTCCCTAGAGCTTCCCCTATTTCCTCAGTGGTTGTATTCTTATTTGAAGTTCCTACCAGGCCCAACAAGTTTCTTTTATGGTTACAATAGCCTGCAACTCAAGAGATTGACCTATAGGGGATTCTTTAAAAGTTCACTCCTGGATTTATAATGATCCATGAGTAATTGCCTCTGTAGTACAATTAAGATGAGAATTACTGAGTAATTCCTGAAGATGGACCATCTTGAGAATTTATTTCTCACAATACAATCTAATTTTAAGTTGTTTTGTATTTTCTACATGTTCCTGCATTCATTGTGTTCTTCGCTATAATGTGTGTTTTAAGTGTCGTGGTTGAATTTCATTCCTGGAATAATGTTATTGTCCTTACAAAGAATTGGGAAGGTGTAACACACACTGGGCCAAAGAGGTTAGAAAGACAAAAGACAAGGAAATGAAAGATACGTTTATGTAAGCATAGACATTCTCACAAGAATTCGCATCCACCTTGAGGAAGAAGAAGAGATGGAGTCCTGGATACAATTTGAGTTTGTCAGGAGAGTTGGTTTTAGTACCTAAGTAGCCATTTATGGGGAATTGGTCCTTCTCCTTCCAATAATAGTATCCCACCTCACCCACCCCTCTTAACTGACTTCATTTCTCCTTACATTGGTGTCCCCTCTCACATTCCTCTTCATTAACTTTATTTCCTTTTGCAACAGTTTCTTCTCTTTTCCCCTTTCCTGTTTTCCGAAACACCACATCTCTGAGTTTGGCTTGTTTCCTGTAGAGATCCATTCTTTCCCTGTTCTTACTATGTAATATGAGCTTACAAGAGATAGATGAGTAGATAAATTGTTGTTAAGTGCTGTCAAGTCGGTTCCGACTTATAGTGACCCTTTATCAGGTTTCCAAGGAGCAGCTGGTAGGTTTTCGCTGCCAGCCTTGTAGTTAGCATTTCAGTGCTTATCCTACGGTGCCATGCCAGGGGTCCAGGATAGACAAATATCTGTCAACAGATTGATTCCAGCTCATAGTGACATTATATAGAACAGAACAGAAACGCTGACCCCTTCTGTACCATCCTCACAGTCACGGACATATCTGAGTTCGTTTTGGGGCTTTTCAGTCCATCTCGGTCAGAGTCTCCCTGACCCCCGCTGGCCCTCTACTTCCCCAAACAGGAAGTCCTCCTCCAGAGACTGGCCCTAAGCGAACAAACTGGAGAAGTGTTTCTGTTGTGGTCTGTAATGTTTTCTTCAGTTAATTTTTAGAGTAGACCACTAGAAGCTCCAGCGAACCCTGCCAACTGTGGTGGTCTTGAGGGCATTTGAAATATTAGTGGTATCGCTTCCAGCACCACAGCACCACTCAGTCACCACAGTGTGACAAACGGGCAGAGCATGGTAGGTTGCATATCTGCTGGGCTGATGCACAAAGGCTTCAAAAGTTCCACCGAAAAATGGAATTAAAAGATAGGGGAAGTTTTCCATGAAGTTTTGAAATCCTCTTGTATTTGTTTAAGAAAACCTGCACATACTGCCATTGAGTCAATTCTGACTCATAGTGACCCTGTATAGGGTTTCTAAGGCTGCACATCTTTATGGGAGCAGAAAGCCTCCTCTTTCTCCCACAGAGTGGCTTGTGGGTTTGAGTTTTAGAGTTAGCAGTCTAGTGCTTACCCTACAGCAAGAGGAGATTGTGATGCCTCTCACTGGTCAGGATGACAGCATATCTTCCAAGGAGGCAGCTGTCACCTGGTCTCTGTATGTACTTGGCTCCTATAGGAGGTTGATTGGAGAATGAATGATCTATGTTGATGTGATGTTGTTATGTGCTGTTGAGCCAGTACCAACTCTTAGCAGCCCTGTATAGGGTTTCTGAGGAGCGGCTGGTGAGCTTGAACCACTGACCTTGCAGTTAAGTGCATTAACTCCCATCACCACGCCAAGATCTGGGCCAACAATTTCTCAACTGTTAGATGACGCTATGACAGTCATACCTTTTTAGAGTTGTGTAGTGCTTTCTGCCCATCAGACATCCTCATGTGATTATTTAATTTCGTTTTTACAGCAGAGGCTGGAAGGATGCTAAAGGACTTGCCCAAGTTCACACCATTACTAAGGGGTTTGGCAAGGACTTCAAAAGAATTTCCCCATCAGTTATTTTGTATTTCCTCTTCATGTGCACTATTTAAGTTTAACTGCTGGTGCCCTTGTGATTAACATCCCGTCTTCTGAGACACAGTAGGATACTAATTGGAATGGGAGAAATAGATCTTGTGATGTGCAAATGCATTGAGTGATGTGTAGTTGATAAATCGTTGAGCTATTCAACATCCTAAGGGAAACTGGGTAAGAGCAGAATAGGTTATATTTTGGAGGACATCTGAGAGATTCAACTCCATTTACATTGACATTTCTAATTACCTTTATCTCTCCAATTGTGGTTTTAAAGGTCCACTGAAGAGTAATTTGAAGAAACCCATTTAAAACCATGCTGAATATTTAAAGTGGAAATTTCATTGTCAGCAAATTTCTCAGGCAAGCATGAAAACAGAAAGAGCTTACAAGACTGAAATTTCAAGTGGGATGGAGCTTAATTAGACGAAGTACCAATCTGATCTCTCTGAAAACTAGAAGAATAACTAT